TGGAGATTGTCCCGGATTTGTAAGTCCACATGTAACGCTTCTTGTTGATCTGTAGTATTCTCGTATCTGTTGTGTTGTTGTATATTCTATTGAGCTTTCCACTTGTTCTGTGGTCCCATACCAAGTCTCACTCAACAACCAATCACAACGCATGTACCATATTACATCATACCACGATTTAATCACAATATAGTTTTCTAAACTCAATACCACAATGTATAAGGAAGTACCTTCATATCATAATACCTACTACATTACAGGTTGACAATGTACTGGCCGAGAAACAAATCATGGGTGAAATCGACTTTCCTCTGTTGGTGAATTTGTCAGCTTCATTTAAGGTGAGTCGCTTTATTTAACGACCAGATATATTTATACGAAAATTAATCGAGATTAATATACTGGGTTATACGCTGAACGTTTGGAGATTTTATATTATATATATATATATCTATGTATCTATGTCTGTGTGTGTGTGTGTGTATGTGTGTTCTTATTTTGATAAAGACAATACACATACAGAGCCACGATTATACTTTGATGAGAATTGCTACTTTTCTCATGCTCTAACATTTCAGTACATACGCTGGCTGTGTCTAGTCATACACTGTAGTCGACTATATCGGCAGCCATAGCCGCATAAACCTGAAGAAACGTATACGTAGACTTAAACGAGGTTACGAATTTGCTATGCAAAAAAACAGTATGTACTGTTCTTTATCATATACCTGTAGTAAGGAATTAATAGCTGCATAATAACAATATGTAATGTACTTTTGTCATATGCTTGTTGCATGGGATTGTTGTACGCATACACAATGTAAACGCAGGAATCCCGATTTTATCAACGTTAAACGTATATAGCGGTGTATTCATATTAAAACTTACAAAAGGATTTTATACAAATTAAACGCTTATAATGGTATTTTCAAATCAAAACTCACATATAGATAGTATCCAATTAAAATGTATATAACGACACACTCAAATACAATCTCTTACAGAGATACATCCTATTTAAACGTATATAACAACATGCTCAAATACAATCTCTTACAAAGATACATCCTATTTACACGTATATAACGACACACTCAAATACAATCTCTTACTAAGATACATCCTATTTACACGTATATAACGACACACTCAAATACAATCTCTTACAAAGATACATCCTATTTACACGTATATAACGACACACTCAAATACAATCTCTTACGAAGATACATCCAATTAAAACGTATATAACGACATGCTCAAATACAATCTCTCACAAAGATATATCCAATTAAAACGTATATAACGTCGCCACCATACTCCTCTCACAGGATGCGAAGAAGGCTTATCTGGTAATGGATTACCTGGTGGGTGGTGAGCTGTTTACGCTTATTAAGCTCAGCAGGCGTTTCAGTGAAAGTATAGCCAAATTCTATATAGGCGAGGTATGTACGGGGTAAGACCGGAGAATCTGAAACGGTACATATATAGCCCTTTTTTTCATTTGTTTGGTACGTGAATACAGTCACATATATATATGTGTGTGTGTGTGTGTGTGTGTGTGTATTCATATACGTATATATATATATCTATTCTGTATGTATGTATGTATGTTTGTATGTATATATATATATATGCTATATATGTATATATATGCTATATACATATATATATGTATATATATATATATATATATATATGTTTATATGTAATTATATATATGTATATATTTGTGTGTCTTGTGTCTGTCTGTGTGTGTGGCTCTGTGTGTGTGTAAGTATATTTGTATATATGTATGAATGTATGTATGTATGTATATGTATATGTTTATATATTTGCTACGTTATGCTCGTGTATAAGTGAATTGGGTCATGAACGCTGTGCTTGGCATGCCCTTGTTGCACTGGATGATTGTTTATGTTTGTTCTTCAGCTGTCCATGCGACACTTATCTGTCCTAAAACTTGCGTTTGCACGTTTAGAAAAAGCTAACCCCCAGTTATGTATATCAAACGATATATATCTTTGTATATACCTTAACACAGTTATATCTGTCAAATGATATGCCTCCTTGTGATTATACATGCACCAGGCCTTCCCCCCCCCCCCCCGGCCTTCATATAAGTGTACATATATATATATATATATCCGCATTTACATAAGAATCTACTACATACGTAGCACGTCTATGAGCCCAGACATATTGCCCCACCCTCTATCCGTGGCCTGACACAGCTCCTCCTTACCTACCCGCTCGTGCCTGGGTGCTTCCCGTGCAGATCATCTTGGGGTTGGATTATCTCCACACAAATAACATAATCTTCAGAGACCTTAAACCAGAGAATATACTCATCGATCAGAGAGGCCACATCCGAATATGTGATTTTGGCTTCGCAAAGGTGTGTGGGGTTGTTGGAGTGTTATGAAGTGAGATACGGATTAGTTGAGAGGGTATATACACAAGAGTACATGACGTATTTCTCTGTGGCTCCCTAGTCACCGTCGCGGGTTGTTGTCTCGAATTCCGCCGATGTTGTAAATCAATGTTGCAAATTCGGCTTTTGCTCTGTGTGGGTTCATACACATGCGGCATATATCTGTGGTACATAGTCCATTGCTGTCGACTACAGAACTCCTCACACCGGCTGTCCTTATTTCTGTTCCATATTTCGTATTTCTTATCCGGGCGATGTCGTAAACTATTGTCGTATATTGGCGTTCGCTACTACGTAACTCCTCTACCCAGGCTGTCCTTGTTCTGTCCCATATGTTCGTATTTCCTATCCGGGCGATGTCTTAAATTTTTGTCGCATATTGGTGTTCGCTACGGTCTGCTCTTCCGTGCCATAGCCATGTGTGCACCTCACACGCCCTCACCAGAGCATTCGCATTTCTTCTTATTGCCTCAACAGGCCGTCCCACTGATGTTCTGCTGATGTGCACGTGTGTGTTATAAGTGGCTCATACTTTACTTAGATGCCACTCTGCTGTGGTTGTTGCACTGATGTTCTGCTGATGTGTACGTGTGTTATAATACTTTACTTAACTGCCACTCTGCTGTGGTTGTTGCACTGATTTTCTGCTGATGTGTACGTGTGTGTTATAATACTTTACTTAACTGCCACTCTGCTGTGGTTGTTGCACTGATGTTCTGCTGATGTGTACGTGTGTGTTATAATACTTTACTTAACTGCCACTCTGCTGTGGTTGTTGCAGTGATGTTCTGCTGATGTGTACGTGTGTGTTATATTACTTTACTTTTCTGCCACTCTGCTGTGGTTTTTGTACTGATGTTCTGCTGATGTGCACGTGTGTGTTATAAGTGGCTCATGCGCTCATATGTTTTTCGATTTTTTTGTTGTTGTGTTCTGTTTGGTGATCTTCTCATTGCACAGCGTCTGAACAGCCGAGACGACCGCACCAACACCTTCTGCGGCACACCGGAGTACCTTGCACCGGAAGTCATAGACAACATAGGTGGGTTATGTGTATAGTATCATACCTACCTCTTATTCATCATATGAAACAGGACCGTAAGGACAACATAGGTGGGTTATGTGTATGGTATTATGCCTACCTCTTAGTTATTCAACTATGAAGCAGGACCTTATAGACAACATAGGTGGGTTATGTGTATGGTATTATGCCTACCTCTTAGTTATTCATCATTTGAAACAGAGCCTTATAGACAACATAGGTGGGTTATGTGTATGGTATTATGCCTACCTCTTAGTTATTCATCATTTGAAACAGAGCCTTATAGACAACATAGGTGGGTTATGTGTAAGGTATTATGCCTACCTCTTAGTTATTTTACCCGGTGTTAACTCTCACAGTCCACCCAATGTAGTCTCTCACATTATACTTAGCTTTTAGGGTTTTGAGGCTTTAGGGTTTTTGCTTGGGTTTACCGTGGTTGCTGTCCTGTGGGGCACAGCGTGCTATACGCCGAGACTACTCCAAAGCATATTAGCCTGCCTGTGTGTTCTATTTTTAGCCGGCCAATGAATTCTCCGCACCACTTTATCGTGCATGAGCGTCGGTGTATTCCTTTTATAGCCCACTAAAGAAGTACCCGAGCGAATCGCACACTATTGCAACCAACCGACTAGTAGATCTGTAAGCGGTGAAGACAGTGCACTCCGAGTGCTGCCTGTTTTGGCAACAATTACCGTGTTCTATTTATAGCTGACCAATGAAACCTTCCCCCCCATCTTCCCCATCCTCAGGCGGATACAACCGATTAGTAGATCTCTGGGCGTTGGGTGTAGTGGCCTTTGAGTGCCTCACTGGGCGTATGCCGTTCTCGGCAAAGGGTGATCTGTTGTATGTGCACATCTTGGAGGAAGAACCGGAGTACCCCACCTACATCTCAGCACAGGCAAAGGCGTTTGTAAGGTATGGGTGCATAGTCGTGTGTATGTGTGTATGTGTGTTTATGTGGCTTCGTGTGTATGTGTGTTTATGTGGCTTCGTGTGTATGTGTGTTTATGTGGCGTCGTGTGTATGTGTATATAAGTATCTTCGTGTGTATGTGTGTATGTCTATATAAGTATCATCGTGGGATTGTGTTTATGTGGCTTCGTGTGTATGTGTGTATGTGTATATAAGTATCATCGTGGGGATGTGTGTATGTGTGTCTATATGGCTTCGTATGTATGTGTGTATGTGTGTTTATGTAGCTTCGTGCGCATGTGTTGATGTGCTCCTTTATACCTGTCTTTAGTCCTGATGCTTAAGTTTCTTCTGATCCCAGTCGGTGTTGTTTGTTTGTACATAGGTTTTTCTGTCACCATTTGGTGGTGAGTGGGTGTCAATGCTCACCCTTGAGGAGCTCACATTGCCTTGTCCCCATTTGCCCACTTTTCTAAAATTTGGCTTGTCAAGTGGTGATTCCTGATTTCCAGATACCCGATTCCAATATAAATACCTTGGGAGGAAGACTCATTCCCCTGTTCCCATTTTCCCCCTATCCCTTGATTTTGTCTTGTCAAATGATGATTTGATCTTATTGTACGCTGACTCTTAATAGTCTTTCACTGATGTGTTCGCGCATCAGAATATTATTTCCTTATTTCACATACCCTAATTTTAATATGTACCCTTGTCTAGTTCGCCCTGATTTCAATATTTATCCTGATTTCACAAACCCTGATTCCAATTTGTAACCTGGTTTAGTACTCCCTGATTCCAATATGTATGCTGGCCGTCCGTCCAATTCGTTTTTAATTTGTGTTCAATCTGTTTTTAATTTGTTTCTTCTGACCTGCTTTCCTCTATTCTTATCAGTTGCCAATAGATAAAAGTTTTATCACTTACTATTTGGTGTACGTTTACCACAACTACTTGTTTTAAGTTTATCGCCTACTACTTACTACCAGTATATCATTTACCAATAGATATAAGTGCATCATGTACGACTTGTTTTCAGTTTATCATTTACCAATAGATATCAGTAAATCATTTAGCAATAGATATAAGTGCATCATGTACTACTTGTTTTCAGTTTATCGCCTACTACTTACTACCAGTATATCATTTACTAATAGATATAAGTTTGTCATTTAACAATAGATATCAGTATATCATTTACCAATAGATATTAGTGTATTATGTACTACTTGTTATAAGTTTATCGCCTACTACTTACTACCAGTATATCATTTACTAATAGATATAAGTTTTATCATTTACCAATAGATATCAGTATATCATTTACCAATAGATACAAGTGCATCATGTACTACCTGTTTTGCGTTTGTCATTTATTAATTGATTTACGTTTATCCCTTTTGTTCTTCTGCATCAAACGCCTTATCACATCCAGTGGACTGTTGTGCAAAAATAAACGCCAACGACTGGACTTCCTGTTTGATTATACAGCCGCCAGTGGAACGAATAAACGTAAGTCATGCATTACGGATTCTATGACGCTTCCGTATCTAATCGATACGTGATGATATTAGTACTGAGATATCTGTGTGCCAGAATTTATCAAACTTATGTGTGTACAAGAATACATCATACTATTTTCTATATATATATATATATATATATATATCAATAGAGTTGGGCAAGAAAGAGTCAACATATGTCCACACACGTCACCTGCAAGTCACAATGCATTCACTCACTCCTCACATCGGCCACAGCGCAGCGCCAAAATAAACGCTTCTCGTAATCCTACTCATATGTATCAGACGAACAATCACGTATGTATATCTATATACAAACACACATATATACATATCCGCAATAGTCGAGAGTATCATCTCCCACCCACCACCCCCCCCCCCCTACTCCCCTCACTCTTCTCCTACCACCCGCAATTTCCCTAACCTCTCCATCTCAGGTCCCTACGCCTCGTCCGCCAGTCTCAGCCCTCTAAACACCCATCGACCACGTCGTAGCACCAGCCATTCACGCTATACCGTGCGCTCCCATCCGTTCTGGGATGGCTTCGACTGGGACAAACTGGAGGCCTTTGCCATGGCCGCCCCCTTCACCCCTGCATTCCGTGATGTATGTGTGTGCTAGTGTATGTTGGTGTGTGTGTATGTGTCTATATATATGTGTGTGTGTGTGTGTGTGTGTGTGTGTGTGTGTGTCATGTCTGTGAGTGTGGGTGTTTGTGTGTCTGTGTGTCTGTGCGTGCGTGTGAGTGTGTGGGTAGGTGTGTATGTGTGTGTGCGTGCGTGTGGGTGAGTGGGTGGGTGTACGTGTGTGTGCGTGGGGGGGTGGGTGGGTGTATGTGTGTAAGTGTGTGTGTACGTGGGTGTTTGTGCATCATATAAATTCATCCGTGATGAGTCAAGCGCACTTTTTTTCTTTGCGACTCATACCCACGCGGCTATTCCTCCTTATTTGTCCATATGCACAGTTCTCCGATACAAACAATTTCATTACGTACGAAGACATGAAACAACCCATGAGCGCCCTGACAGAGTCAGTCTACAGTAAGGTATGTACTTGTTTAAACGTCAAGAAGTGTGCACGGCAAGTTTTCTCCAATCAGATGCGTTCTATGTATAGACGCTGATCCGATGTTGCCATGCCAACGCTGCAGGGGACATACAATGCTGCAGTCCCTATTGCAATCAAGAGTGGTTTACTTGTAGAGTTCGGTACTGATTTTGGCTGTTGTGCGTGCAGTATTTGCAACAGAAAGGGGTGTGCATATCCCATTTCCCACACACACAAGAGAAAAAAGATGAACCATACATACCCAAATTCAAGATTATAATGGGCACGGGTGCTGATGCGCACAAGCATGCAGTCCTGCATGTGCATTTTGAACATGTGCGAATACTTTAATGCATGTGATTACACTATATCTCAAGTCACGAGTACGTCAATGCGTGCGTGTTGCCCGGCCACCACTCGAATTATTCATTGCCTGCGCAGAGGTGTGTCTGTAGCCAGTCGTGCTGGTACTTATATGCGTAAGACCCATGTTGTAGGAGTGTATAATGATGAGACACCTTCTGCACGCAGTGGCCCTGAGTGTGTCCAATGTAATGTGATCCATGAGATCATTCACTTCTCAGCGGTTGTCTGCTGAAGTCAGTTATCCGTTGAAGAATCTTTCTCCCTACTGAACCCAAACAAAAAATACCTGGTACGTATATATTCTATTTATAGAAAGATGCAGGGCATACGCCGTCGCAGAAGTCACAGAAGTTGCAAACCACCGGCAAATACAGCATCAGGAGTAACCGTGAAAACAGCGCGTACGGGCAAGAACTAGACGACCTCTTTAAAGATTTCTGAAGGCACCCGCAGTCCCATGCACAGGCATTGCTAGGAGTACGGGTTTAAAAACGTATTAATAAAGAGTAATGTGGTAAATAGCTCACGGGGAATACAAAGTCATCAACAGTGGGCAACTGGCTGGAGAATTCGGGATCTGAATACACGGTCTTCTCTTTTATCCGGGTCAGAATTCTGCGATTGCGACCAGAAAAACTAACTAGCTCAACTACCACTGGAGTGGACAACGTTTAGTTTAATTTATTACGGGTGGACAACGTTTAGTTTAATTTATTACGGGTATGTCCAGGGATATTTTAGTTGTGTACTGTGAGTACTAGTTGAGCCCTGTTCGTTGCATCGCAATCACGCAGCCCGAGATATAAAACATCCTCATCGTTGTCGTGGTAAGAATCAAGGTATGCGCACATTCCGGAGTTATGTTCTTTCAGTAGCACAACGGGTTCGTCTGGATATCCGACTGTTTGTGCGGATTCGATAGTCACCCATCTGTCGCTAGAATCAGTACAAGTGTCATACCCTCGGTAGTTCTCTGTGCCAATATAGTTCCATCCATCGCAAGTCCATGCTTGCCCTGCACATCCCTGATGCACTCCTGGTTGCACTTGTAGACAATAATCGGTATCCACTTTAACGATCTGATTCGAACCGAACCACTCGTAATAATTACTCGCCTCAAAGGGACCGAATTGATTGTCGTTGAGATAGAGTATTTCGGTGTTATTTCCTGTTAGAACGGTGGCCTGTATCATGAATTGTTTGCTAGCTGTTGCAAAAGCTATCTGAGAAACGGCAACTAGTAAAACCCCAGTTCGGTTCATATTGAAATTGCTTTTATCTTACGTGAAGGCTGAATGTTGACTGTGTTCGTATAGAAGTAGTTCTGTGGAATGGTGTGTTTGACAGTCTATTTTTATAAGATAACGAGTGTTTCATGCAACGGGCAGTTGGACAGGGTTGGTCATATTGTTTTGTTTAACTTAGATAGTGAAAGGTGCTCCCAGGTTACCCGGCCTCAAATGTGTACCGATTGTGCAGAAAGTAACTAGCGTTGCGTTGTGTAACAGACACACTTGCGTCACATTGGACCTTTACTCCTGACTGTTTGAATACAAATTCTACATAATTACTTAGTGTTAATACGTATGTAAATAGTATATGGTCCTCAAAAACGTTTTAACTTTTTTTAAAAACATTAACGGGTACATATGTATGTAGTCAGTAGTCACTAGGAGTACATAGTCACTATATAGATTAGTAAGTAGTGTTTCGAACTTTTTTTTTTCTTATAAAGTTCAATGAGCTCCTGTAAAGAGTAGATCTATTTATTTTTTACGAAATGCTGACTACCCTTTTAAATTTTCACGAATCATATTGTATATGTCAACAGATGACCATTTGAATATTCTACGTCATAAACTCAGTCCGCGACTATACAGTATACACTATACAGTATACTGTACATAATACATACACGGATGTATATATGACAGACTATGACAGTATGACGCAACTGATAAGTTTGAAAACTGCTGTGGCGAATCTATTTATATTTTTGTTCTTGAATGAAAGAATTTCAAAGGCGCATAAGTAATACTATTATTTATCATAGGCAGTACATAGCTGGGACGACAGTTGTTAATTTAAGGTATTATACTTTTACAAGTATAAATACTGACACAGATTGGTACAATTTCATCATAAAACACGACAGTTATTCAAAAAAATCAAATTATGACCACAATTATAAGCCGTGCTGGACTCATAGTAGTGTTAGCTACTGCCACTAGCACTTCGGGTCGATCTATACAATCACCGACGTTTACAATTGAGGCTAACATATTGGGTAAGAATAATGTTGCCACTAGATACAACTTGGGTGACAAATTCTTCGAACCCGAGGATATGGGAAGAGACTTCCAGTGGGTCAGGTCAAATCAGATTGGGTATGTGAATGATAGTGGTGAGGACGTGTGTCTATCATTCCTTCGCGCTGGCAACAAGGACTATGTCGGGGTTAAAACATTGACGGGAATCCGGCCATTATGCGAAAATACACCAGAGCGTTGGGAAACTTTTATTGTAAATGAAAGTGACGGTAGCGCCGAGGAACCGGTTGCTTTGCTGAGAGACGGTACCAGTGGACAGTGCGCTTACCTGGCGACAGATAGAGGGAACGGTAAACAAGAGGAGAAATACTATCTTGGCCTAGGAGACTGTGAAGCTACTCACCGAGCTAATCTAGTATTGGCTTTAAAGACTTATGAAAGTCCAAGCCCTTCCCCAAGTCCGTCCCAATCGCCCGTAAAGGGTGAAGTAAGTCCAAGCACATCCCCAAGTCCATCACAGTCACCCCAATCACCCGATAGACCGATGCACCAGGTTTGTGATTGTAACGAAGGCGTACTACTTGACAATCTGTGCTATGACTCACTCAAGGAGGCTTTCGATGACGCCACAGACGATGTTACCATACACGTAGGTGGCGTTGTAGTGAAAGTGTCGGAACCCATAGAATTTGATTCGAGCATCACACTTCAAGGACATGCATGCGCTGATGAAGGTAACAGGGCCAAGATCATGGCTGCATCGGGCTTCGAAACACTGTCAGGAGCTATGCTTAAGGCCACTCATCCGGATGAACAGAATATAGTTTTCAAGGATTTGGAAATCACCAGCGAATCTGAGGGTCAGTACGTTGCCGCATTTCATTCTTTGAGCGAGTCTGATCTCGAGGGCGAGGGTGGAAACCAAAAGGTGCAACTCGTCTGCAATAATATATACATACACGACATGCAGAGTCAAGAGCCGGGTGTGGGCATATTTCTAAGCGGCACCAATGCGTTGACAGTAGATGACCAATGCCTGTTTGAAAATTTACTCACAACCACAACAATTGGGGACAAATGGGCCGGTGGCCCAGCTATTGCGGTTATCTATCTTCCTGAATCAGGCACAATCAATATTGACGGTCAATTCAAGAACAATCGAGCGTTTTTTCCCAGTCCGAGCACTAGACATGCTGGCGGAGGTGCAATCTATTTCAACTGGATGGCAGGCAGTGTATCCATTACGGCTCAGTTTAGCGGTAACCAAGCAAATCAGGGTGGCGCAATTCAAATCCAGGCCGTAGTAGGCGATTTTTTCGATAACGGAATTTATACAAATAACACAGCCGCCGACGAAGGCAACGGTGCGAGGTTTGGAGCTCTGGGTTGTATCAAGCTTTATAGTGGTGCTTCTTTCGTACTTAACGGTTCCTATATCGACAATCTTTCCGAAGGTCGAGGTGGTGCCGTAGGCACCAACATACATGAGAGCGACAGTCTATTTGCTATACAAGGTACCTTTAAAAACAATAGAGCCCTCAACGATGGGGGTGTTTGGGGACGGTGGTCCAGCACGACTCTCAAGGGAAAAGTGGTCATTGATATCAACGCGACAATTGATGGAAATATAGCTGAGGGTGATGACAATGACAGCAGCGTATACAACACGGTGTCATCAAATGTGAGCAGTGATAGCATGTCTCAATTCGAATGGGAGCAGCGTACTATAAGCCAAGTGATTAATCCATAAATTGCTATCGAAACTTATGAGGGTGCGCTAGAATCAGAAACATAAAATGCATAATAAGACAAATCTAGTAGTGAAATAAAACAATAAATAACACTCGTGATAACGCAATAAACAAATCTGCACTAACATTGTTTAACTAGTGACATAATTGATTTCTACCAACTGCGATTTCCATGCGAAACATACACCGTACTTTCAATTCACTAACACTCGGAACGACAGAAAGCTCACTTATTATTGTTTTTGATTTATAACATATGTGAGCATCTGTTTATGACTTGTAGATGTATAT